GATAACTTTGTTTAGTGATATGTTTGGATTCCTTACTCTTTATTTTTTGTGTATACAATATAGGTTTTTGGTTTGCGGTTACCATGAGATTCATATATAACAACAGCAGTCTATTTTCAACTGATAGTCACTTAAGTTCAAAACACTTTCTAAAAGCACTACAGTTTTTACTCTCTCCCCACATTTATGTTTTTGACATATTTTATACTCTGTGTCTGTGTGTTTGAATTTGAAACCAAACTTCCTGGGAAAGAAGCACACTTAGTCATGATGATTATTCTCTTTACACATTTGGGACTCAACTTAAAAGTTTGTCAGTGCCCTGGCTGATGTGGCTCAGTGGACTGAGTGTGGGCCTGTGAACCAAAGGGTCACTGGTTCAATTCCCAACCAGGGCACATGCCTGGGTTGCAGGTTAGGCCCCCTGTAGGGGGCACACAAGAGGCAATAATACACTGATGTTTCACTCCCTCTCTTTTCCTTCCATTTCCATCTCTAAAAATAAATAAATAAAATCTTTAAAAAATTTTTGTCAGTGCCTTTGGCATATGTGTTCATGAGAAATACAGGTCTGTAGTTTTCTTTTCTTACAGTATCTGCTTCTGATTTGGGTATCAGGGGATGCCAGTTCCATGAAATGAGTTAGAAATATTTCTCCATCTGCTCTATTTTTTGAAAGAGTTTATATCAAATTGGTATTATTTCTTTCTTAAATATTTGATAAAATTCACCAGTGAAGCCATCTAAGTCTGGAGAATTTGAGGGATTTTTTGTTGTTTTTGTAGGAAGTGTATCTAACAATTCAATTTCATTCTTTGATATAAATCTATTCATAGTGTTTGTTTCCACCTGAGTGAGCTTTGATAGTTTGTCTTTCAAGAAATTTGTTTATTTTATCTCAGTTGTCACATGTTTTGGCATGAAGTTGTTCATAATATTCTATCATTTTCCTGTTAATGTCTGCTGGACTTCTAATGATGTCCCCTCATCATCCCCACTGCTGGTGATTTGTATCTTCTACCTTTTCCCTCCTGATCAGTCTGGCTACAGTGTAGTGATCTTTTCAAGGAATCAGGGTTTTTTTGTTGTTATTGTTCCTTGCTTTTCCTTTTTTTAAAGGCTTTTTAGTATTTTGTTGTTTTTGTTTTCTATTTCATTGGTTTCTGCTTTTGTTGTTATTATTTTCTTCCTTCTGTTCACTTTGGGTTGGACTTTCTCTTTTTTTCCCCTCATTCCTTTATGTAGAAATTAGATCACTGATTAGAAACCTGTCTTATTTTCTTAAATAAGCATTTTGTGCTGTAAATTATCCTCTAACAACTGCTTTAGTAGCATGCTAAAATGTTGATATGCTGGTTTTTCATTATAATTCACTTCAAAATATTTTCTGATTTTTTTTGTGATTTCCTCTTTAACTTATGAGTTGACTCATTGGAAGTGACCTGTTTGATTCAGAGGTACTTAGAGCTAATCTATTTTATTTTTGTGCATTTCTAGTTTCATTCTCCCATCCCTTTCTTGATAAGAAAAACACTATTTTAAAAATCAGAGAAGAAAACACAGCATTATTATTTACTACCTTTTTAAAAATCACAACTAGTATAAATTTTGTTTCTTTCAAATTTAGCTTATCTTTGTTTTACTAATCAAAAATAAATGGAAACTTTTAAATTCAAAAATATATTTTACTTTGAGAACTGCTTTTATTCCATAAGATATAACTCAGTCTGAGGCAGCTAAGGGATTAATGTAACTGTATTCTCACATATTCATTTTATGAGATTAATATTTTAAAATATGTTTCTGTCATCACTTATTGCACTAATGTTTCTAAGTAAAAAGTGGGAAATTTGCTATTCATTTTGCCAATAATCAAAACAAAGTTAAAATTGGGTTTCTTGTGTGGGTGCATTTATTCTAATTGCTAGATTAATATTCAATAATGTTCCATAGTTTTTTCTCTAAGACAGTGTTAAAGTTCTTTTTGGTCATTTTACAAAGAAAACTCTTTCCTCTAAATACTCAGCAAAAACATTAGTTCCAATGGTTAATGATTAACAAATAACTACTGTGTTGAAAATCTTCTAGGTTTATTCTTCAAGAAAATCTAATTTTCTTTTTGGCCAATGATCTTTATTCCAATGTGTTATCATGTACTATGTCTTAGCATTCTTTTCAAAAATTTACCATTGTTTTTTTAATTTAAAAAAATCTCAAATGGATTTATTTCTTTGAATGGGGAAAAATACTGAGAATCGTTTCATTTGTTTCAAAGCCAGCTAATGTCAGCACTGTCTTTAAGCAGATTTACATGCCATTTGTTGGTGCAAAGGATTAACTTAGCATGGTATGTAAGAAGTAAACTCGGTCACAAGAAGCAGCACCACATGTATTGAGATCTCTAAGAATAATGCAATTTTATATTTTATAAAATAATCAGAATTGAGTGAGTTTGTATTAAGAAAGCCTACAATCATGAAATCCCATCACCTGCATAGATACTGTCTACAGCAGGTAGAGTCAACACTGTTCCTTAAGTGGTAGTCTTTGCTATTCTGGACTAATCCGGCTTAAAAACAGGGTTATGAAAATAGAGTTCGTGCCACTCTACTACACCATCAGATTTAAACTTCCTGACAGCATGTAGACTTTAATTTATCAAAACCCTAATTCATTGCTTTCCCCCAAAGCCCTTCATAATGTCCAGTGCTAGCACTGAGTACCCCTCATGTTATTACTCAAGAGTCTTTGTGGAGTAATGCTGTATCCTCCATCTTAGACTATGAGGGCTATTTAGTAACAGTTGTTAGATTATTGCAATGGATGTTCATCCTACACTAATTAGCTAATGATGTTCCATCTCCCTTCCTTCTAAAAAAATAATAACGTTGAAAACCGTGAACAATGCTTTCACTTATTTGGTTGGGATCTTTAGAGAGCCATTCTTTGCCATGGTTTCCCCAAATTTGAGAAAGTCTTTAGAAGGTAGATACATGAATTTTGTAAGTCATACTTTTGAATGATTTTTCCATGTCCCGTGATAGCTTTATAGATTTTTTATTTTATTTTGTTACAGAAATGGACCAGGAAGTTTCTTTAAGTTGTGTTTACTAAAACCACTGCATCTCAGTGGCCTCTGTGGAGCACTGTCTACTGGAAACAGTGGATGGTACATGAGTAAACCTGAGTTATGGCCTTCATCTGTAACCAATCCCCTACTTCTCTGGACATCAGTTTTTATTTCATTTAATAAAATGAGGGATTTTAAACACAATGTCACCACAATCTCTGCCCAGATCTAAATTTATGATTCTATAGTCTTAGAAAATTTATTACCAGTCCTAAAGGATTGATGATCATAAGAACAAAATGAAAAAAAAATAGTTTTCCTAGATCTTTGCAATGGATGCAGGCATGTTGGAGTCAACTCTCTGTTGTTGTCAAGCTAAGAAGCTAAGGGCAAAGTAAGGCTTTGCATGGAGAGGTCATCAAGACCCTATGGGAATGAATGCCCAAGCCCTCTGGGCTTCCGTCTGATGGCAGAGACCTGTCGAGTTCTGGACTATTCTCTTTACCAAGTTCCCTATGTTTGACCTAAACAGGATTTAATCAAATTAAGTAGGTAAGAGGTATGTGGCATAACAACAAACTACTCAAAGGGGAGAGAATGTTGAGGTGTCCACCCAGCAAGGCTGTGTCTGGTAGTTTGTATTTAATAGTTACACATTAAGGATGAATGCAAAGACTTTACAATTTAGTGCATTTCTGTGGTTTTCAGTTTTAAAAATCTACTCCTACTCACCCCTAGACGACAATGCAGCCAAATTAATTTTGAACAAATGCATTTGAGATGCCTTCCAATTATTTGTGGTGTACGACCCAAAAACTTTATCATAATTTTCCGGATGAGCAAATAGAGACACACAGACATTAAATTATTTGCCCTTGGGTCAGAATTTAACCCAATAAAGTTCACTTTCTCCTTTAGAAAAAGATTAACAGAAGAAGGAAAAAGATAACATTTGAAGTTGTTGGAGGCTGTGTGAATTACTGGATACTCTTAAAAAGGCATTTAAGACATGTAATTGCCAAAGGAGATGATGTTGATGTTACTTCTAGTTGAAAGTCTAGAAATTCTTTTAAAGATACATTTAGTTAAAAATTACTAGAAAGCATTGTGGGCTTTTTGAGAATTATCCTTTTTAACATTGTGTAAAAATAATTATTTGGTTTATAATCAGCTTTTAATATGGAATAATGCCACATACTGTATTTCATTCATCCAGTGCTCACTCTAGGTGTGAGTTGCAGATAAAGATACCTAGTTGTCAAGTTAATACCCTATTTACATCATTACACCATTTAACTCTCTCATACCCTTCAGTTATCTACAAAACAACTCTAGAACACAAACAGGCTCTCTTTTGTTTTGTTCAGACATATGGCTGAATTAATGAGAATCCAAAGAAATCTAAGAAAGAGGGCTATACAAGTGGCTATTTTCTACTATGAAGTATTTAACTGGCGACTATAGTTCTTCACAACTGGACTTTTAACACTCCACGCAGAATTCTAGATTTTTATTCACACAAAAAAGCCCTATTTCTTGATATGGCTTAAAAGATGAATTCTATATCCCGTACACATGCACACACACACACACACACACACTTACACAGGATATAATATATAAATATATATTTTTATATTTATATACTAAATTATGCATCTAAATGCAAGAATGCTCTGCCCCCAGCAGCCAAAAGATAATATAGCCAGCCTCTGAGCTGGATACCGTAAGAGCCTACGGCGGATGTTTCAGACCCTTCACTATTGGCGGTAGTTATTTTGCTGAACATCACTTTTCAGCACTGTTTTCCTCATTGACAATACCTGTTCAGGTAAATTGAGAGCCACTTCTTCCTGCTGCTGTTGTACTGTACACTAGTGAAACATTCTTGTCCCGTCGTCAGCAGCTAACGTAACATTGCGTGTTGCAGAGTCTCCCACCCTCCGCAGATCGTTCTGCCCATTCACAACTGGGAACCAGAAGAGGAGCCCCGCAGAGAGGAGGGAGTTGGACCATTGGTGGAACATATTTATGAGGTAGCTATTGTCTCTGTTGAAGTTGTGTTAGGGGTTTATTCTTACACTCTTCACTAATAAACGCTTCATAGCTTTTTAACAGACACCAGTACAACCCTGGCCGGGTGGATCGATTAGTTGGAGCATCACCCCATATACCAAAAGGTTGTGGGTTTGATCCCTGTTGGGGCATATTCCAGACAATTGATGTTTCTCTCTCTCTCACTTTCTCTCTCTCCCCCTTCCTCCCTCCCCCTCTTCTTCCTCTCTCAAATCAATAAACATATCCTTGGAAGAGGCTTAAAAATTTTTTTTTTGACTAAAAGACACTGAGGATCTGGCTGGTATGGCTCAGTGGGTTGAGGACCACCCTGCACACCAGTCTCCAGCTGGATTCCCAGTCAGGGCTGTGCCTGGGGTGTGGGCGTGTTCCTCTGCACATTGATGTTCCTCTCCCCCTTGCTCCCTCCCTTCCCCTCTCTCTAAAAAATCAATAAAATCTATAAAATAAAATAAAATAAAATACTCCAAGTATCTGAGCATCATATACTGCTTAGATGTGCCCTGTCGTGCTGCCACATTACAGTGGGTGGCAGTGAGATGTCCTGTGAAGTGGCCACTATGTGGTCACTTGCTTTTTAGTGTGAGAGCCATTATATAGCAAGAAGCATTTCATCTTATTCCTGCCCTTCTTTTTTAACGTTATTTATTTCCTCTGTTTTCAATGTTTGGACAACCTAAGCATAAAAATGACTAGTGCCCTAGACCTTACTTCCCTTACTCTTATATTTTCAGATATCCTTAAAACCTACCCACCTCTTAAATGCAAGGTCACCAACCAGAAGGAACCAGGGAAAAATTTGATGGATTATTTACTACTACACAAAAAATGTTTATGTAGAATATATGGTGGGTGAATGGTAGATAAGAGTAATTTTACTGTGCATTCAAATAAGCCAAATTAGATTTGAATAACTTAGCCTGGGATTTCAAATAGTTTGTTGATTAGTAAAATATGTTCCAGAAGCAAGCCAGTGGCTCATGCATAAGCTCTGGTGATCTTTTCCCATCTCAGGTGTTAAATACTGAGTACTGAGTGCCGAGAAGCTTTGCTGATATGTCATCTGAAACATTTAAATTTTTTACAGTTAGAAACCAACATACAGTAAATGATTAGTCTAGTCATTGTTCCTTTTTTATTCTTTAAAATAAAGTTAATGCTTTCAGTGGAGAATAGTTATTCCTGCTTATTTTCAAGGGCCTAGAAATGAAATTTTGGTAAAAACGATACTGCAGGCCGTTCTCCGTTCGAGGTTCCTTCTTGATTAATGCCCTCTATCCCTTCCTTAGGTAGCCAATGCCACCGCCCTAATAAGTCTGACTATGACTTTCATCCCAGATTACATGGTCTACAGCTAACAATAAAGCTATTTCAAAACTGATGAGCTGTTTGCATACACGGGAAAGATGCATCAAGTGCTGTGCAGAGTCAACATGAACCCCTCCGCCAGGCTCCCCACGTGCGCTGCAGATTCAGAAGCCCTGTCCAGAGCTGGATCGAAGCTATGCCTTAAGCTCTCTTGATAGCAAAAGGAGAACACAGTCCCCAAGGCCACTTGGATTAAGAACTTCACTGGGAAAAAAAGCTGACAAATAATTTATTAAACCTTCTGTGCACTAGTTTCTGCTTAAGAATAGTGAAACTTTGAAGTTTGAAAATACATGAAATTCAATCATTCTCAGCACAGCCCTGCTTCTAATCTTAGCATAAATGGGTCATAAAATTTTAGGGTAATAATCAGTAGTGCCAAAAGCAATCATCAAATGCTTCTTACATGTCTCAAAATATATTGCTATCGATGGATGCCACGTTGATTTGATAATGTGAATTAAATTGGCCACCTAATAGGGAAAACCAATTATAAATTATTTTACTGACCATGATAATTTTTCAGAACTGTGGTAAAAAGAAGTCCCTGTTACCTTTGCATTTTATAATTACAATAAATGTAAATAAACTTAGTGTTTTTCATAAGCCGTTTTGTTTCCTGTGAGTACAGGATTCTAGTGTTTAAAATGTTCATCTCTTTACGAGACATGGCCTTTCTTTCCTTGAGATTCGCTGATTAAAATAGAAGGAGCTCGGCTTTGAAATGTGTGCTCGAAGTGAACTGTGGTGAGCCCGGGTCTTTGGCATTTGATGGATAGCTGGGCTTCCAGAGAGTGAAAGAGAGTGCATCGCATATGGTTGCAATCGACAAGTCAGTAGTCAGGAAAAAGGTGATTTCATCGTAAAGAAAAAATAACTTAGGTTTTGAAAGCATATCGCTCAAATTGCATTTCTAGCACTGCAATTAAATTAATATAAATGTAAAGTAAGCATCTTTACATTTATATTAATTTAATTGCAGTGCTAGAAATGCAATTATCGGATGCTAGAAATGCTATCGGACATGGTTAATGTGACTTTTGCAGAAGAAATCTGCCCTTGGAGCCTCACAGATTGAAGAGCCTTCTGGAAGCATCAGCACAGCTTGCTTTCAGAGCTCTTCTTGCTCTTAGAGACTCTATTTTCTGTTTTTCTAAGTCCTGGTCCAGATGATTTAAAACAAAAAATCATGCTCTCCAGGATGGGCACAGTGTCTGTGGAGTTTGATTGCACCTCCCTGCCTGTGTTGGGCCGTAACATGATGTGTTCCTTGCTTGTAGCTGCACAATATTGGACCCAGTACCATCAGTGACACCCTTCTGGAGGTGGGCTGGCCGTTCTCTGCCCGGGATGAATTTCTTCTTTATATTTTTCATATTCAAACTCTGGGACCTCTACGATGTCAAACAAAACCAGATATCAACCCACAGGATATAAAGGTAGGAGCCTTGTCTAACCTGCAGCTTTGTTTAATTTTTATGGTAAAGAAAAAACAAAAGCAGTGGCTTATAAAAGAAAACAAATTAATTATAAGTTATTTCCATGGTAATTGATCAGACCTCTTCTTTTAGTTTTAGAGTCAAAATGCCAGACCTACCTTAAAATATCTCTCCTAGAAAACTTAAATCTCTCTTAGTGTTATTGTTCACGGTGGCCTGTTATTTATTTAGCCCATTTCAATAAATACTTTTTATATATCATTTGACTAGCAGCACAACCAAACTCAAATCATAAATAGACATGTCATGTTTTGGAGAACTTGTACAAAATGCTATTTTTAAAGTATTTTTGGTATATTGCCAAAAGACATGAGGATCTTTGCCAAAATGACTTTTCCAGCTGTTGCCAATCGTGAGTGGTGAAATGCGATAATTTGCCAAAGGCCATCTCTGTGTCCTGAGAACCCCTAGACTGGAATTTTCAGGACCCTATTCTTTAGTGGAACTTATAAAGAAGCTGACAGCAGTGCCCCTCAGACTCCTAAGTGTATCTGAGTCACTGGGAGTCTAGAATGCAGGGGACCAGGTGGGGCCTGAGACTGTCTCTCTGTAAACACCTGCCTAGTTTTCTGGTCACACTTCAGCTAACCAGGAGCTCAAGCATCCCCAGGGCTGATTCCATCTAGAGTAAGATCCAAATCTGGCTTTAGATTCCTTCTGGAAAGGAAAGGAATTAATTTGCATAAACCCTTGAAAATGTCACATTTGAATGAGGGGGGGACCACTTGTTAATCAGATGTCCTCACAAGAGAGCTTCATTTAGGAATGAATGTGCTCCAGTGGCTGCAGGGGCACAGCGTGTCCATGAGAAGTGGTGCAGGGGGCAGGCTTCTGAGATGCTCGCTCAGCCTCCCAGGACACACGTCTCCCTCTACTCAACCAGGGGCACTGGGACTTTGCCTGTTATGAAAGGCTCCTTTTTTCAGCCCAACATGCCTTCTATTCAAAGAGAGGAAGACTAAAAGGGGGTTCAGTATTAAAAGATTTATGGGGCATCAAACCTCCTGCTTTCTGGGGAAATAATAAAGAAGCCTACTTGTATTCTCCAGAATTATTTAAAATACTTCCTCCCTGGGGAATTCTTGTCCATTTCCTCTCTCTTTGCTTTTCATTGACAGTCTCCATAGACTCAACATCTTCATAGACAATCACTCATATTATAAAGTAATATCTTCAAATGTTAATGTAGAACAGCCAACTAATTAAGACATGCACAGATCTGGCTCTGCAGTTCACATATCCTGTGTTTCAGTCATAGAGTCTTATTAGAGCACGTGATTACACAGGAGGTTTCTAACTCTCTGAGTGCAATGTTTAGTTTGTATCTGACACTATTTATATACGTTTGTATATATTATGTAACTTGTTTAACGTGCACCATGTCGGCTGTTATTTTTTTAATGCAATTAACAATCATTTACAGTGACTGGAACAGTACAAATAGACAGATAACTTGACTTAAATTTTGACAGATTTGTGCACACTGAGTGGGAGTGTAGACTGCACACCTGTACTCCCTGCCACCCAACCAGAGACCAAAAGATCTTCTATCAATAGAAAACAAGCATATTTTAGCCCTGGCCAGTGGGGCTTGGTTGGTTGGCAGGCGTCCAATAACCAAAAGGTTCTGTTCAGGACACACACCCAGCCTGTGGGTTTGACCCCTGGTCAGGGTGCGTAGGGAGGCAAAAGATCGATGTCTCTCTCTCACATTGATGACTCTCTCCACCCCCTCACCCCACTCCATTTCTTTGTCCCTAAAATCAATGAGCATGTCCTCAGGTGAGGCGAAGGAACAAAGGGAGGGAGGGAAGGAGGAAAGAAAGAAGGAAGGAAGGGGGGGAGGAGGAAGGAAAAGAGAGAGAGAATTTTAAAAAAATGATAAACAGTATATTTTATATCAGTAACTATAAACAATTGAGAGTACTTGATGATTATTTTCCTCTTTAGGTATTAAATAATTTCTTGGTGAAGTTGCTATTAATATACTTGGCAATTTATTTCTTCCTAGATAACTCAAAGCTAAAGTCTATTCTCTGCCTTTAATATGAATTAGAAATTGGTAAGGAACAAATTATTATATCTTATCTTCAGAAATAGGTCTGGGAAATTTTAAAATTTAATATAAATATCAGATTCCTACATCAAAGCTAATTGATTTTTTAAATTAGAGTATACATGGTTTTATTTTTAACTACCTAAAGTTGTTTTTTTACTTGTTTCTTTAAGAAGTACAGAGAGGGTAGGTTTAGTAAAAGGAACAAGGAGGCAGAAATATATTTTTGTAGGCAAGAACCAAGTCCCAATATTAAATCTTACCCGATGAGTGGGCGAAGGTAAAATTTGTTACCATTTGGTTCTGTAGTTTCTTTATAAGTTGAGCAGTAAGGTGAGTGCCTCTGTGAGCAGTACATTTTCTGCGAATCCTTTCTGAGCACACTCCGGTCCCCACTGGACTGGCCACCAGAGTATGCCGCCCCGTGGGTGTGTCAAAGGGGGCCCTGCCACCCCAATCTCTACTGCGTCCTCTGGAAGATGTATACAGTTTCCAACCACGTCTTCCTCTTCAACCATTCGGTTAATTTCCTTTCGCCAGAACCCCTCTCTCACAGGTTCACACACATTTTTAGTGACTTCTCCCTCCTGTGCGTATTCTCATGTTTGCCCACTGACCCCTGAAATGTAGCCTCCTTCTTCATGCCTCTTTCTAACTCCCACAAATTCCTAAGGATGCTTGTTTATGAAAAAGAAGCCATCAGATTTCCTCAGAAATGTTTCTAGGCCACCCAACCTAGGGAACCAGTGCCACCAACTCTAAAACCTGTGACATTGCCCAGATGGCCTCTGCAGAACCTCCACAGCATTTTCCTGTGATTAAGTGGATCCGCATTTAATATAGTGTACTTTACACAATGATTTGTTTCCTTTCTTTCTTAATTCCTCATACAGCAACTGTCCTGGCTTTATTGTGCATGGTTTTATGCTCCAAAGCCATATTGTTCATAGAGTCGATTTGTTTGTGGACTGGCCTGAGAACTGGACAGACATTTACAACATGGTTTCTAAAGAGAAATGCGTGCAGAGTGCCAGACATCTAGCTTGAACCCCGAAATACAATCTGTCTATAGATTGAATATATATTCCAAATGTGACTCTGCTCACATAAGCCTCCAAGTCCAGAAAGGCCTGAATGGGGTTCAGTTTTCACAACAGCAACTGGCACAGTTCGGTTATCCCAGCAAATTGCTCTGTCGTCCACAAGGCTTGGAGGGCTAACGCTGCCTGCCTTTGAAAGTCACCACCGTGATCATTCACGGTGACCTGTGGCTGTTTTAGGAGACAGTGGGCAAAGATCTCACCCACTGACACCTGCCTCATTGCCCAAATACGGAGCATCAGCAACTGAATTAGGGTTCGGGGGTATGGTCAGTGAGGACACACTGAGATGCCACTAGAAGTCGGTGAGTTAAGCTCAAACATTATCTGTCTCCTATCAGGCTTTGTGGAGAGTCACTCTGCCTGCTTTGTCGACACTGTTCACACATCTGAGGATGAGGGTTGGTGGACATGTGGGGAGGTGGTGGGGTTCAGGAAAGGCTGAGTGGGCTGCCCAGTCCCTGCGAGCGTGAGGGTGTGGCAGTGCCCTGGGCACATTCACTTGCACTTTCACATGTGCCCCCAGTGAGAAGGTTCCTGTCTGGTTATTTGTTGCTCCCATGATGGCTTCGCTTCATCAAGTTTATGGTCCGGGTCAGAGACAGAGGACTTGAATGTGACAGTTTCTCCACATTCTACCATCTAAAGCATTTTCAAATTTTCAATGTCTGCGGTATTCAGACCAACCCATTAAATCTAATTCATTCCAGATCCATCTCGGAATAAAATTTTAGAGTTGAGTGAAGTACTTCTCAATGATTCTTAAGGCAGTAAAATAATGATTTCAAACTACCAATTTTCTTATTTTGGCGGAGTCTATCCTGAGGTTTGGAGAGTCCTTCAAACAGGCTATGATTTCTAGATAAGATGAAGTTGAAAAAGTAAACACTGCTAAGGAACCAAAGTTGCATAGAGAATAAAGGACTTTTTAAATTGGCAAGATTTCATAGTGCACGGCCAAGTGTGAGGCGCTAGGGGAAGGGGCTGTGGAATGTAAAACTGCACCCAGGGGAGGAAGACAAATGCGATGCTCAAATTCAACCTGCATGAAGACCACAACCCGACATTCTGGGCTTACGTTCAAGAAAGAAGAGCCCTGAGCTAGAGCGGCCTGACGGAGACTAGACTAGGACGACTGACAGGAGACAGAAAGCCACAGACTTGTCTCGGGAGCCATGGGAAGCAGGCGGTCCTGACTGAGTGTCTCTTGAACAAGACCACCCCACAGGAAGTCCAAGTTACAACCGAACACTGCAGACGTGGGAAGCCGAAACACAGAAACTGTTTGTCAGAGATTACAGCCCTGCAAATAGTTTTTCATTTGTTAAGTCAGTGAGCCCGCAGACAGTGGCTTGGCTTGGCAGATTCGCATAGTTTTGTCTGATCCTTAAGAGCATTTTCTTCCTTCAAAACTGCCTCCATTTACTTACTGTTTCCTTTGAATTCAGAATGCAGGGCCACTGGGTACTTCCTAGAACAACAGCATCCAGCTCACTCAGGCCCCTCCCTCTCTCACACACACATTTTAATTCACCCTTTACTTTTTTACCAGTACTCATAGGTCCAGTTGCTAGCCACTGAGGAGCAGTGTTCTCTCCAGGGTCAGTTTCCCTGTGCCTTATCTACTCTGCAGGATGGTTTCAGGGTCTCCTGTGTTTTGAAAAATGTGAAACACATGTCCAACAACTAAGAAAAGCTTCAAAATCGCCAATGGAATGAATTGATTCTTTTAGTTATGCTTTGCATGAACTTTTCAGGATGTGAAAAAAAATGTGGATTTCTTTCTTCCCCGTAAATTCTTAACATTTATGTCTCAAAGAAAAGTACATAGAGGCCTGACCCCCTGGGCTTGTCTCTACTTCTTTTTAATTATGAGCGATGTCCACCGACCCTTTCTTACCAGGAATACCTGAAATCTACAAACAAGTTACTAACAAGAAAAAGATAGTATGGTTGCACTTGTTTGGGTTCCCAGAACCCTTAATCTCATTTCATCCAGTGCTCTTCTTCAAGAGCCGTTTTCCAACTGTGTTGCAACATTGTAGCGACACACTGTTCCTTCACTCCATAAATGTAAACCTGTGCCAGAGCAAAGAGTTTAGTGAAGAGGAATGAACATAGAAAACTCCTGTTGGGGTCAAAATCTAAGTAGCAGCTGGAGAAAGAACTGTATTTACTAACAGTTGTTTCCTAATTGCAGAAAGGGGCAATTTTCATACTTATTTTGAAGACAATGCTTTAGTGGTTACCACCAGCTTCTCACAGCTCTTGACAAGATTGTAAACAGGCTCCAAAAGTTCATCTGGAAAATAGGCTTTAACTATTTACATTTCTTGGGTAACCTCTTCCTTGTTTTTTGTTTCGGGTGTTTTTTTTTCCTTTTGTATTTTGAAATAATTGCTGGAGTCTCATTTGAGAAAACTGGTTTGCAAGCCATTTGAAGACTCTGACTATGGTGTTTACAAGTGGCATTCTTCCATCTGTAAAATAATGTTACTGAAAGAAAGAAATGTGTTTTACCAACCTCTGCTGTGTGATATACTCATTCTGTATATCAGAGGAAGTCCTGTGTTTTGCTGAAAGACCACTTATGAATACTTGCGAATGGTGGTACTCTGGGCCCACCTGAACAGGATGTGTTCTGTGTACCCAAGCTGCTGCACCCAGTGAAACCACATAGGACGTTGAGTTTTCTTCTCTCTGGACTGTTATTTTACTGCTACTACTGCTACTATTACTACTACGACTACTACTACTACTACTACAACTACTAGGCTGTAATTTGGGAATAAAGAAACACTCCCTAGTTCCTTCCAGTGCAATGTTTCTCATAGACACACACACAGTGTGTGGTAGAAAATATGTGATACAATCTATATTTTTACAATTCTACCTGAACTCACATTTTAATCTTACAATATGAAGGCTTTTCTCTCAGACCCTCCCTCATTGTGTAGCCCTGAGCCACGTATGCCTTGCAGGCCTCCCCCAGCCAGGTGCTATTGCTTCCTGGGAGTATTCCAGCGTCCGTGGGGTTGAACCTTCCCTCACTTCTAAGTCTCAAATGTTTAATTTAACATCCAAGCCTCCAATTCCATCTCACATTTCTATAATTTTCTTACTTCCTTTATATGAAAACTTTTTCCAGGTCAGTAAACCCACCCACTCCCAAGACGGTCTGGAATCCGTGATGAGTGGGTTGAAACGCTCTTACAAACTTCCTTTACCTTCCCTCTCTTCCACCTTTCCAAAAGTCTCTGTTGTGCATAGGCCCATATATCAGCTTCTCTGCCCCTTAGCCTGAGGGCACCATTGCAGACTGATGGGAGGAAGTGCCCACTGGGCAGTTAGCTTCTGGAGGAGTCCTCCCGCCACACTGATAACTCTCCCTTCCCATTCTCTTTGTTGGCTTCTCCAAACCTTCGCTGCTCCCCTGCCATCCAGCCTCTCCAGCATTACTATCAGCAGGTGATCTTAGGACAAGAGAATCTTCGAATGATCCATTTCCCTCCCTCCCCCCCTCCCCCACTGCACTGCAGATACCTAAACATTTATCCCTCGTCCTCGGCTTTTTACAACACTGTCAGGGGAAGAATTATTTTTCCTTCACTTCTAAATTTAACTCTGCCACATAAAGTATCTTCTCTGTTTCCTCAATGTCTTCCTCCCTACTAGCTCTGCCTTGGACCCCATAAGCTTACTTAAATTTCCTCTATCTTCAAAACAAACAGTAAGCAAATCACTTGGTTTGCATCTGCTTCCAAGAGTGGGCTCCTTCTTCCTTCCATTTTTAGCCAAGCTATACTTACTGTTTCTAATTTCTTATTTCTCTTTTATTACAACTATACATTTTTTTGTTTTCATATTTAAAATATACTAAATGCCCATCAGAAGAATGTCAGACATGTAAAAACACAAAGGAGAAAAATTTAAACTTTTGGTAATGTCACCACCCACTTATTGCATTTCTTACTTATTTATGCATTAATTTATTTCTCCATTTCACTACATATTGCCAAAATTAAGGATACTTCTTAAAAAATCCATAATACCATTATCATACCTAAAAAGAAATTAGCAAAATTCCTTAATATCATCAAATCTCTACCACTGGTAATGTTAAGATAACTATACTTTCAGATTATTTTTCAATTTCTAGATATACAAGGTAAGTATACATTCATATTTTATTAAAATATACCATCTTATTATATATGCTATTTTGTAACTGAAAGGTTTTCTTAGGCTCCGCTGAGGAACAAGTGCTAATCAGCCACAAAGTTAGGCAGCACAGAGCTTTATTGAGGTTTGCGCACCCAGGCGAGGTTCCCTGGTTTGCATGGTAGGGCCGGGGAAGTCGCGCCCGAGCAGGGAATATAGTGGGGTTTTATCTTGGTTGGCTCTCTTCGTGGGAGCTGGGGATTGGTCCCCTTTGAACAAAGCGGCAACATATCATGGTGGTTCTCTTTGGGCTCAGGTTGCCGTGTGCATATACGTTTTGGCAAAGCCTACTATTTTGGCTCCCGGGGTAGACGTCAGCCGTCTTTTCCGGGCTGTAGTTCCGCCGCTGTTTTGTCCTACCCTGCCCATCCTGACAGTAACCTGCCTTTTTCCCTTACTAAGGTCCTATATCTTTCTAAATTATATGTAGTGCTACATCATTTTTTAAAAACTGTCTAGTAGTCTTCTGTATAAATGTCATAATTTATTTAACTAGTAACTTATATATGCCCATAATATTTTATGTTACTATCTTTTGTCTCCATTATAAATAACTGTTAAGAACATCCACGTTTTATTTGTTTTGTTTTGGTGTTTTCTTGTAGTTCAGTTTGGGGTTTAGTTTTTTTGTTTTGTTTTGTTTTGTTGTTTTTTTTTTAGATTCCACATATAAATGAGACCACGAGGTATTTATCTTTCTCTGTCTTAGTTCACTTAGCGTAAGGCCCTCAAGATCCATCCATGTTGATGCAAATGGCAAGATTTCCTTCTTTTATTGGCTGAAAGACACTCCTACGTGTGTGTGTGTGTGTGTGTGTGTCCTTCTTTGTCCAGCCATCCAGCAGCGGGCCTTCCTGGTGTGTGCCTGTCTTGGCTGTTGTGAGTAATGAGTGCTGCAGGGAACACGGGGGCGGAGATAGCTTTCTGAATTAGTGTTTTCCTTTTCTTCTAATACACACCTGGAAGTGCCATCATTGGAGGATGTGTCAATAATTTCCCAAGTGACAAATTCAATGTGACAAATACATTTAGTCCTAACATTTTTAATCCCTTAGCTGGGTTTGACAATTTTATAGTCACGCCCTTCTTTTTGCACCTTTCTTTTTGCTAGCCTTCCACAGATTCACACTTTCCTGGATTGTCTCCTACGTCTCGTATTCCCCGTCTTTACTTTTCCTCTCTGGATCTTCTTCCTCTCCCTGTTCTCTGATATTTCCTGCAATGTTACCTGTGACTCTACGCTTCTCATTTTTCATTTTCTCATTGAGCAACTCAGACCAGTCAGCAGGCTATTACTACACATCTTGATAGGTGCTGATGGGGCACAGAGCCATCCTGTGGAACCTCAGGTGGGGCTGAGGGTGCCAGCCTGGTACAGGTCAGGACCGGAGGGCAGTTCTGCGCACCACGGGCAGGACACGAGGGGCGCTTAGTGAGAACTGAGGCTGCAGAGCAGGCGGAGCCAGCACCGGGAAGGTTGTGCATGGCATACCAAGAATTCTGGACTGTCTTTCTATGTGCCCAGTAGATGTTTCCAGGTTCTTAGGACATGTTGAGCACTATCATTTCACCTTTTGTGGTGCATCCTTACATCAGCAATGTGAGAATATCTCTTCTCATTCCATAGATGAGCGCACTGTTTTGCTCCTGTGATTCCAAAGAAAAATTGTATTAAAAAAAGACATTTGTCTTGGGGGGAAGGGGAACAGAAAATTAGGGTTCTGTATTCAATTAGTCAACAATAAGGAATGTTAATAGGATATTATATGTGATTTATTGGAACTCTCAAAATATGTATTCAGCTGTCAGATGACCCAGCCTGGAGCCTGAGATAAAATCATAAATTCTAAAGCACTTACAAAACCAACCTGGGGCTCAAAACAGACTCTGTTATGACCTAATGCTTATATGGCATGATGAGGGAACGTCGTCGTCATTAGAACGTGGTTCTCTCCCAAGGGAGCACTTCCTATACTTACAGGAGTGTGGGGCTCAGACATGCCGACGTTGGGTCCTCGACCACCTCAGCGCCTCAGAGTTAGCACCTTGCTTTTCTGCTACCTCAGGACCTATCTCTCCACAAAGAAACCTACTCAGTTTAACCATCCCTGATACACAAGGAGAGGAAAGTAAGGAGAGAATAGTGACTCGTGCCTGAAAAGTCACTCCATGTTTTCTGTTCTTATGGGGAAGTCACTTCTGCTTAAAATATTTTCTTCACAAGACAAGCTTTCCAGGTACATTCCCAGGCCTCATGAGTTCCTGTAACTGGAAAATGGAAAGGTTGTTCCTTCTGCATGGGGTTCATTTTGCTGTTGGAAATGCTGCTGGTAAATCAGAACATGTCTGAATTCTGATGCGAATCATTTCTGATTCATGCGAATCATTGTGAAAAAAAATTGCCTAGAGTTCAAGGCTAGGTAACGAGTGTTAATGTGGTTGTCCGTGATGTCTTTTGCTTACTGTTTACAGCCTGCTGCCCCCAGAGAGGACACCCCTGAGCTGAGTGCCTTTTTACGAAACTCAACCATCCCTCATCTTGTCAGAAAGAGAAGTGCGCCTGTGCCAGAGCTGCCCAGACAGAGCCCGGTGAAAGTCCTGGTGAGTTATCTTGGCATGCACAGAACCGAGGGGAAAAACCAGATGGGACAGAATTCCCCACTACAGATGGTTTTAACTTCAAGTTATTTTTCATTACACCTATTGGGGTGACAGTGGTTAATAAAACTATATAGGTTTCAGGTATACAGTTCTAACAACACATCATCTGTGTATTGTACTGTGTGCTCGCCACCCCAAGTCAAGTCTCCTTCCATCACCATTTATCGCCCCTTTACCCTCTTCTACCTCCACCCTTCCCCTATCTTCAAGAATTGTTTTTCATTCTCCTCCAATGCTCAGATATGCCTAACATTTTTCAGCAGTACATGTTGTGAGAAATGGAAGTGGCTTTTGTAAATGAGTGTTTGCAATGTAACTTTTTCACCCTTCTGAACCTGCCATGGAGAGCCCAGTGGAGAAGTAATGGTGAAAACATGAAACATGACTATTAATGTATTTCAAGAACATGAAGATTCAGTTGCTAGCCAGTCCCCGGACACTGCGCGGGTGAGGTTTGAACTGAGCCTAGAGAAGTGGGGCTGCCTTTCGAAGGGTCCCTGGAGTGAGCGGTTCACCGTCCCTCAATCTCAGTGCCCTGAGCTCCACTGAAGAGCTGTGAATGGTGTGTCCAGGTTTCTGGCCAAAACCCAAAACCCAAAACCAAAAAACTTTACAGAGCCTTACTACTGGGGTCTGCAGTAGATCTAGACTGAGCTTAGTCAGCACTTTGTAAAACTAGGGACATCATTCCTGAATCAGCATTTTTATTCAGTTCTCCCACTTGTTCCACTGAGAATGTTAATGCTACTAAACTGTCTGCTTAAAGGGGTTAGAATGGGTTTAAAAAAAACCTTATGTATTGAATATACTCTGACTCTATAAAAAGTTTCAAACATGGAAATGGGCAGAAAAGTCCAATGAACAAATCTAACTCAATCAGTTAAACTTTAGTCAAGAGAGGAATGTTTATTGTCATAGAAGAACCTGAAATTACATGGCAAAAAAATTACTTTGACAGTTGGCAGGTTATATGATTTGAGTCCCTGTAAATTTTTATGACATTGTAATGCTTTTAAAAAATGTAAAAGTAGGGATTAGATATGCAACTGAGTTTAGAATAAATTCATAAAATTCTGCATAGCATCATTTTTAAAAAGCTTCTGGAAGGAATAGAACGGGAAACAATGATTTAAGCCCTGGGGACGGGTGTGCAGCACACTGACTGAGGTTAACAATACTGTGTGGTATATCTGAAAGTTGTTGAGCAAGTAAATCCTGAAAGTTCCCATCACGAGAAAAAACTGTGTAATTATGTGTAATTGTGTAATTATTACCAGGTGTTAACTAGACTTATTGTGGTGATTATTTTGCAGTATTAACAGATATCAAGTCATTATGTTGTACAGCTGAAACATGTTATATCAGTTATATCCCATTACACTTTTAAAAAAAATTTTAAAAAGAAAATGATTGACATCTGTAGAATTCTAGTATGCAGCACCAACAGGAAAGCCCTCTGGAGAGCCAATGTCCAAACCTCTGGGGACCAACAGTTTGGAAAATCAAACTTCAACTATATTTTTCCGTTTCCACTTCAGCACATATCTCGTGAGTGTGTAACGGCAGTGGAGATCAATAACTAATACTCTTTTGAAAATTACGTGCTCTTGTGTTATGGGATCAGATTGTTTCTGTGTATTCTTTCTCATTAAAGACTTAATGCAAGAAGATTTCTAACCTCTGAATATCTCAGAAACTTATTACTTACAGATGAGGACAAGGCAATCCTCGATTTCCCCGTCTGATTCTGTTAAATCACGTTTTATTGCCTTTCTCCCTTATTGGTTCGAAAATTGCAACTCATATGCCTCCCCATGTCCTCAAGTCAAAATAATTCTGGGTAGAAAGTGATTATGCAAAGTTTATTCAGAAATCAAAAGCTAAATAAGACCTCCTACAGTTTTTGTTTAGTTAAAAACAACTTACTGAATCACATTTCTGATTAGGAATTTGAAAGTGCAAAATGCCAAAATCCTGTTTGGGATCATAATTTCCAATTTGCATAGGAAAAATCTGGATCTGTAACCCTGAGATACAATTTCTCCTCTACTTAAGAATGTCCATGCCTTTCTCATCTTGGGTCCCTGCTGCGTTTTGCAGCAGTCACCCCCTTCTGCCCCCTCTCTTCCGTCTACTACTCAGTTTACAGAAACTTTGTCTTTCTTAGTCCTGTTCAGCACTTGGTACTCTTGACCAGTTCCTGACACCATCACCTCCCCTAGCTTCCCCCCAAACATTCTGTCCTGTTTCTCTTCCTACCTTTCGACTTGACTCTTTGAATTCTTCATGGACTTCCCTTCTGCCCATCCTGAAATGCTTTCAGACCTCAGGATTCCATCCTCAGCCCCATCTCTTCTCTGCTGTTGGCTTTGCACTTTCATGGGAATTTCTTGCCTGATTGTAACGCCAGTCATTAGTCACTGTTAGGTGACTCCTACCATCTTACTACTTTGAAGACTAGCAGAGCTCACTGTGATGCCCATCTGGATGTCTGGCAGACATGCCAGTCTGCTCACGTCCACACCTCCAAAATGTGCTCCTTCTTTAGAACTCCCAGTCTCGGTGACGCCAGCACCCCTCCTCCCAGTGCCTCAAGCCCAGACAGCTCCCTCCTCCCTCCCTGTCCTTCCTCCCAGTCTTTGATTAGTCGCCAGGTATTGATTCTACTTCCAAAACTTCTCTAGAATGCATCTTCTGCTCTCCATTCCCACTGCCTCAGTTCGGGGCCTCATCATTTGTCACTCAGACTCTTGTAACAAGCACTTACCATCGTCCTCGCCTCCCACTCCTCCCTCCACTCTTCCCTCACATACCACCTGTCCCTAAGCTACAAACAAGGTCACGGCCCTTGCTTAAAAAGCTTCACAGGTTTTCTAGTACCTTCTGAATAACATCCAAAGTCCTTATCACAAGTAGGAAGATTCTTTACCACCTGGATTTTCACTCTTCCCTTTCTCATTGCCATCTCCCCCGCCATACCCTTTTCTCCTCTTTCCTGAGCACACACTGATCTTTTATGAGAGAATCGTATCCCTGTTACCCTGTGCTTCCAGGTAACACTTTCTCACCTTTCCAGATTCACTCTAGGCAACACTTCCAAAAGCCTTCACCAGAGCTAGCTAACTGGGATCGATCACCAGTTTCAGGGAGTTTGTGAGAATTACCTCCTTCTGACTCCCCACCTGCTTTGCCTTCAGAAGGTGGCATTGACCGTACACAGCATGTCAGTAAGGGAGCAGAGGCTCATGTGAGGGTCCTCGTGGGTGGCACGAACTGTGGGCTTTGAGGATCCCCACTCCTGCTGGAGACACAAGCCCCCGACACCTCAGTACCCAGATCTAGTAGAACAAGAGCGGCCCAGCCACTTGTATTTGGAAACATCATGAAGAAATCTAACCTTGTTGGAGTTTATCAGATAACACATTACTTATTGCTTGGTTTTTAAAGAATTCTGAGGATCTTGAAAAAGGTTTTCATAGTAATATGTCCCTCAGGCTACTCTGTATTTTATCGATTTCATTAATATGATAGTGATGTTTACTGAGTGTCTACAGGCCAGTGCCCAGGGCTAGACATAAAAAGTAAAGCTTAGCCCACATGATAGAGTCAGTCAGTGACCATAATTCAGGAAGGACCATCCTGTCCACGGGAACATGGAAAATGGATGTGAGGCGTCCATTTATTTCCATAATAGGATCCAATCATAAAATACAATTTGATAGGTAGAATATCATCATAGTGACCACTTTGCTGTAACATGCATTTTATGTATTAAAGGTTATCCATTATAAGTTGGACAACCCTAGAAACTAGGTTAAAAACTAGTGTTTATAACCAGGAAGTAATTTAGACAGTAAGACAAATGCTTGTCAGCAGGTCTATAGCTTCGGGTCTTTGAGGTCACGTGGACCCACGGACCTCCCTTGAAAGCCGTGCTAGGACTTTGCTTAGTCCAGGGTCAGGCGCTATGAATGTCTGTCAGAAATGTCTTCCTGAGTTCTGAGAAAATGAACCAGTGGCACAATTCAACTCCTGATGCAAGAAGAGAGTATTAAGTCCTCAGAAAAGAGCTTAACTTTTATGTCGTGCTTTATGTTCCATTTTATCTCTGCATTACTGCTGAAGTTGAGGCGTCCTTGCTACCAGACTGTGCTTTGGCTTTGTTGTTTTAATGTATTTGTTCTTCATTTACATGAATAATATGGATTAGGTGGTGATTTCTGGGAAAATAAGATATAAATAAATTGACTTCAATGTTGATTCTGTACCACAATTTAAAAATGCTGATTTGCTAAAGTCGCTGCTGTTTTTTTCAGAATTGTACCAATATCGAGTGCCTGCAGATCTCCTGTGCGGTGGGGCGGCTGGACGGAGGAGAGAGCGCGGTCCTGAAGGTCCGGTCGCGGCTCTGGGCCCAGACGTTTCTCCAGGTAACAAACCCACGGAGGCACGGGCGCTGCGCTCCCGGGGAAGCTCTTCCGAACGCTCGGTGTGAGGCTTATGGTTTTAAATGGCTTTTACATTTTCTTAACATTTTCTGTTTTTACAATCTTTAGATTTAACTTTTAAAATATTTTATTTTTAAAAATTGTTTTTTAATTTTTTAATTTTTAAAGAAATTTTATTTCTTTTAAAAGAAAGATCAATTGGTCATCTTTCCTATCAGATAGACATTTTTTCCAGCTTTACTGAAATATTATTGATATACAACATATGTAAGTTTAAAAGGTATAATGTGATGACTTATATATTACAAAATGATTACTACAATAAGGGCAGCTAATACCTTCTTCCCCTCACATATTACATTTTTGTGTGAGTGTGGCTATAACTTTTAAGGTTTACTCTATTAACAGCTTTCCAGTATATAATACAGTATTGTTAACTATAATCACCATGCTGTAGATAAGACCCCTGGCACTTACTCATCTTATAGCTGGAAGTCTATACCCTTTAACCTCCCCATTTCCCCCACCCCAAGCCCCCGGCAATCCCCATTCTACTCTCTATTTTTACAAGTTTGGCTTCTTTTAAAGATTCTACATATAAGCGACATCACCCAGTGTTTGTTTTTCTCAGTTTGACTTATTTCACTTAATGTCATGCCTTCAAGGTCCATCCATGTAGTCACAAAAGACTAGATTTCCTTTTCTTATGGCTGAGTATATATAATCTCGCTTAATTTAGGAGAAGACGCTGTAAACAACCTGACTCCCTAAGATATTCAGACAGTAACTTAGATTCAAACAAATCTATTTAGCTCAATACCATATACCCACTGCCTGGCACATAGTAGTTCTTCAGTAAACATTAGTTAATGGAAATGATGGTAAGTATAAGAGCATAGTTCAAGCCATATGCTCAGAAAAGTAAAAATAGAAACCAAGTTAGAAGGGAAAAGGGAGATTGTCCCAGAAGGTGCTCTTGTCAGGTGAGCCCGCAGCGTGGGCTCCAGCCCAGCCTGCGTCTCCGCCAAGTCCCAGGTCCGTGTGATGTGTCGACTCCACACAGCCCCGGCCGGTCTGTCCCACTGCATCCAGCAAGGCCGCAGATAGCTCTATCGATCATGTGTGCTTTAAAGCTTTTAAATCTTTTATACTAAGCTGATGAATGTTTCCACTTGGAAAGAGCTATGTATTTAAATGATACTATTGTGTTATGATCTTTTTGTTTAGGAAGGATTTGGGGGGGGGAGCTTAATTAAACTACGAAATCTGTGCATTGTTGTTAATATATATGATTTTATTTACTTTTAGAGAGAGGGGAAGGGAGGGAGAAAGAGAAGGAGGGAAACATTGGTGTGAGAGAGAAACATCAACTGGTTGCCTCTCATGCCCCCACCGGGGTACATGGCCACAACCCAGGCATGTGCCCTGATGAGGAATCAAAACAGAGACCTTTTGGTTTGCAGGATGATGCCCAACCAACAGAGTCACACTGGTCAGGGCTGTTGCTTATATGTTAACTACTAAAAATTTTTTACTTGGTTTATTGCGCCATAGGAAATCAAATGGTAAAATCGTTTTGAGTCTAGCTAACAAATAGAGAATTTTGTAGTTCTAGATTTTCATGTTTTCTGATTCAATATACCTCTATAGTCTCAAAAATATTATTTAATTTTGTTTCTAAAATAAACAGGAGGAAAATTTAAGTTATTTTTAAAAGTTTGTTGTGAAGCCCTTTTAAAAAAAAATTAAGGCAAGGTTTTCTTAGCGTTAGCACTATTAAAATTTTGGATGAGATAATTCTTTGTTGTACAGGCTGCCCTGTGTATTATAGGATGTTCAGCAGCGTCCTTGGCCCCTACCCACCAGATGCCAGTAGCAACCCCTAACCCAGTGGCGACAACGAAAAGATGTGTTTAGAATTGCCAGTGTCCCTGGGCTCAGAGTTACCTCTGGTTTAACAAGTGCTCCAGGGAGAAGCGCAGTACACAATTTGCATATTTTTAAGTTAAACCACTATTTATTCATTCTCTCAACAAATATTTATGGAAGTCCACCTATGCTGCACACATTGCTTCGAGTACCACTTGCAGTCCATCAGTTTCCTCCTGGCGGCCCTGCTGTTATCTGTCATCCGAGAGCTGGGAGAGGAATCAGAGTGAATGCCCAAACCCGCACAGTCTAAATAGATGACCATACATTCCTCCTATCACTTTGGGCACCACATCCTACTGAAGTGAGGGAGAACAGCTTTTCAGTGAAGCAGGACTAAAATCATTGTGACACTATGGTTAAAGGAAAGTGGTTTTATAGTAGATGATACGCATCAGTTCTATGTACAACGTTCTATTCCAGTAAGAGGCCTAGAGAGGGAAAATGGCATCTTCGTTTTCTGTTAAAAAAGACCCAGTGAGTCTACAAGAAGTCAGTAACAACCAAGGGGCTTTCCAAACGGTAAATATTTAGCATGAGTAGAGTCAGGCCAGAGCAGCCTGCAGGGACGTTCTGGAGTCCTACCAGAGCAGAGTGCCTCTTCCAAAGCTTTGGGAGAGAGTGGCAGAAGTCTCTCCCTGTATACCCACAGCCGTAGCCCAAATTCCTGTACTTCTACGGTTTCTTCTTATTTCCCTCTCTGAAGCTGACTGGCAAAGACGAGTGCAGTATTACAAGCCAGCACTCTCTCTCTCTCTCTCACACACACACACTCTCTCTCTCTCTCTGTGTCTCTCTCTCTCTCTCTCTCTCTCTCTCTCTCTCTCTCTCTCATTGGATATATTGAAGGCCTTTGATAGTTTCCTCATGCAACCCAGAAGGAAGTAAACATTTTCTGCCTTCCTAATCCAGCATAGAAAGTTTACAATTCTTAGCTGACATGATTTGCCTTATTGTGTTTGTTTCTGTCCATGTGGTAAACAAGCGAACTGCTCAGGCAAATATTTCATTTGGGTTAAACTTAAATATTCCCCCGTTCGTGATTGCTCCTTGAAACAGCAACTCCTTTGCAGCTTAAAGTTTTACCTTTAAGTAATTGCTCAGGCTTTGTCATCTCACAAGATAAATGTTCCTGGTCAGTGCTGGGTATTGCAACATGGGCTGCATGAAATGGGTATGTATTTTAAAATAATTCTTCAGAAGGAATTGAGTAGTGGGAAGGTGGGAGTGAGAGTGCTCACAGTGTTACTAGCCTCACCAAGTATTTAATCAGAAGCCTCACTCTCCACTCCACTTGTTACCAACTCTGTAGTTTTTTTGAGTACCATGACTCTTTTGTGCAAAAGTACCTGACAGAGGCAGCAAATGGGCTGCAAACCACAGTTTCAATGACACTGCAATGGGAGAGGAATCAGCATTTTCTGAGGATCACTAGCTAGCTGCCTAGCTGGTGGAAGGTCCATGATGTTGTCCAGGAGTCTGAACTCCAGCTGCTTTTTTAATCCTAAATTGCCTACAATGTGGCAGCGATTGCTATTAACATGAGGAGATTACTATATAGAAGAGATTTTGTTTAACATAAGAAAACTACAGTTGCTTTGTAAAGAGCACAGCTGGAAGCATTCAAGTTGCAACGTGGAATCGATACTATGACTCTGCTCCTCATTGTCGTTCATGAAACTAAATGCTCACCTGTGCTGTGCCTATGCCCTAACAGCCACAGACAGCACTAGCGTGTCTTTCTTTGAGGCCAACCAAGCCACCTATAGCCTAATACTTCACATTTCTCATCCTTCCAGCTCCAGAGCATCTTTTAAAAATGAAAAAAAAATCTTACTGAATAGCATAGTAGACACCTTGGTTTTAGAGAATAATTTAAGATAAAGAGCAGAACACTCCATGAGTTGTACCGTTTATCAGATGGGTATTAATGTGGGGTGGGAAGGTCATGGGTAACCACCCCATCTGACGTGTTCATTCGCTGTCCATCCGTGTGGTCAGTCATTCAGAACTGCTGAAGCCCTCCTGTGCGTGCTGTGCTAGGTGCTGTGGAAAAATGTTACAAATGTTACATTCCGTGGTTTATACCGTTCATTTTTGTATGCTCTTGTTGGAGAGAAAAGTAACAGAGAAAAATAAAAAGTTAAACAACAATGTGAAAATTCCAAACAGCATATGACAACTACAGTTTCATCCCAGAGTGTGACTCAGAATCTTGAGCCCAATCTCAGGTGTTTCTGAAGCTCAGCAAAACGAGCTGGGGAGTGAACCACAGGAAATGACAATGAAGAATGGCAGTGAATGGAAAATGTGAGGAGGAATCAAACTGTGGCTGGGAACAGGGGTGGTAAAGGCTGTCAGTGAAAGAAAGTCCTCAGAGAAATGTGTTTCTGCATGTTCTACATTCCAGAGTTCAAATCCCACCGCTTATACACTAAGAAGCTATAATATTCATAAATGCAGAATCACATAGCACAAAAACTTCCCATCTAGAGTCCGTACAGAGATGGACTTCTCCCATGATTTTTTTTCAAACATAAGACTTTGAGAGCAAGAAAATTATTTTATGTCAATTGTTTTTATTGAACTTGGAGGCTAAAGAAAACCTGTGCATTGGGGCTTTGAGAGATGGATGCACATTTGCGTAGGTAGTTGTAACCCTCACACATGGAACCTCATTTCCAGGGTATGTTGTCTTTGCTCTGTGGCTACCAGTCAGGATGATAAGGAAAGTAGATTTAAACCACCAAGTACACACACGAATTTGTGAGCAAAAATTTCCACATTTAAAAAAAATACCTCTCATACAAACAAACAAAATCCAGCTTTCAGCTGAAATGGGAATGCCAGGAGGAAAAAAAAACATCAGAAGAATAACCAACCAAATAACAGCCACAAAGAATTTTTCCAAGTGAATGGAGTTGCTTATCCTGGAATGTCAGGGAAGAAAGAAAGAAAAAGACTAAGATGGTGCCTTTGAGCATACAAAACTTTTACATGCTCTGGCCTGTCCTTACCACACAGAAGAAATGGGGTTTATTGGAGGAAGAAAAAAATCAGTCATAGGAGAAGAAAATAAACTTTTTAAAAATACAAATAATTTAAACAAAATTATTACAATCTAACCTGTTAGACTAGCCTCAAGAAAGCCACCATTGGCTCATGGGTAGTGAGATGCTGGTAAATGTTTAATACAGTGCACTTCTCGAGGGAAAAAGCTCCAGTTGTAACATTTGCTGATTCCCGTGGTGTGAATGCTGCCCCGAGCGCTGATTTCAAGCTGCCAGCATTGCTGAATGTGGGCTTGGGCAGAGACGCATCTGCAGCTCACCATCGTGTAGGGTTTCCCCTCACAGACACAACAGACACAAATAATGTCTAGAGAGTAAGTAATAGTAAAGTGCAATAAAATAAGTAGTAAGTACTGAGTAGTTACTACCTTTTAAAAATATAATTACTGAAGTTTATGTATATGTAATGTAAATTGTAATAATGGCTCTATTTAACAACTGGCACTCACCATTCCTGAGTCTCTCAAGAGCCACGCGAGCCAGCTGAGGCTCCCGTTGGATAGATCTAGTCACTGCCTCAAGTTCAACGGAGGAGAAGCACAGAAGCTTAAGTTCTCAGAATGTCTCTTCTTGATTTGCTCTAGAATATTTTCCTTTGATTTTAATCAACAGTTAAAATGAGAACCAATTAAACAAAAAGAACTTTTGCTGAAAAGTTCTGTCAAAAACACTGTATGGCTCTAGGTCTGTGGTCCTTAATTAGGGGAATTTTGTTCTCTAAAGGGACGTTGGCAATAATGAGAGACATTTTTGGTTGTCACAACTTGGGCATGGAGGGATGCTGCTGGCATCTAGTGGGTAGAGGCCAGGGATGCCACTAAACATTTTACATTGCACAGGACAGCCCCCCAACTAACCTAAAATCTTAATGGTACTGAGATTGAAACAGTGCTCTGGGTCTTCTGTATCAGGTGAAATGTGATAAATTTCTTTATAACTCAGCACCAGTCTTTTCTCTAAACTATTTCCCTCTATGACGAGAATGTTTAGACCACTGTGCTTCCCCTTTGTTCTTCACTAGTAGCAACTATATAAATCATTGTGCTTACTACTGTTTAGGACTCATTTTCTGCTTTTTATTTTAACTTTATTGTACCAAGTCTTTTGTTAAGAAGACAGATTCTCTTCAAGAATAAGAAGAGGATGAATGGTTGGATGGATAGATGGATGGTTATCTGAACAGGTGGTGGATGGATGGATGGGTAAAGGGTGATGGATGGATGTCTGGATGGATGATGGATGGGTAGATGGATGATAGATGATTGTCTGGATGGATGATGGGTGAAGAATGATGGATGGGTGATAGATGGGTAGATAGATGGATAATGGATGGATAGATGGATGGATAGATGGGGGAAAGTAAAAGAAAAGGAAGACAGGAAGAAGTTTTGCTTTGGAAATGGAAAACACTAAAAACGATTGGGTAGCTGCCAGTATAACTCTTAAAGGCTTTCTATGAAATATACTTAAATAAATATTTTTAATTTCAGAGAAAAAATGATCCCTATTCTCTTGCATCCCTGGTGTCCTTCGAAGTTAAGAAGATGCCTTATAAAGATCAGCCAGCAAAACTCCCAGAGGGAAGCATAGCAGTAAGTATCTTAAAAATATATAGGCATTGAAATAATTATTTTTTAAATCACTGTTCCAGCCTGTGCTAGGTTTAAGTGCTGATTACATTGACTTGAGAGCAGTTTCCCCTTCAGATCACTATTTTCTTCTTCCAGTCTGGAAATTACTTAATGTCATTTGATCAAATTTTTCAACTTTTAATGTAGTTTCTATGCTCCACCCACCCACAAAAACAATCACAGGGCAGGCCTAATATCATTTTCAATCAAGTTATTTTGGTTCAGAGAAGTCCGGATAGCAATGATCACTATAATGAAATTGCTTCATTTTAACGTGAGTAGGGAAGGTCGAAACTCTTCCTTAGGGACAGACGTCGGAGACCAGCTGCATGACACTGCACGGTGATCTTTCCTTTAATGCAAAGAAGTGTAATTTTTACTGGGAAGTAAAAAGTATACTATGAGCTTCATTTGAGTGACATTTTATTTTTAAAAATTGAGGCTATTCAGCATCACTGACCCCCAACTCTCTGTCACAGCATAACTGCTAGCATCCTCAGCAGCCCGACGAGGCCATGACGAGCACAGGGGGAAATGGGTGAGAGAGGCGGAGCAGACAGTGGCCCCCAAACTCTGCCTCCACGGTGAAAGTGGCCACAGCCAGAGCTCCTGGAAACAATAGTAAGGTTTAAACCTCCATCTCCTGGCCCCTCACAGACACCGACAACTCTGGTCCCCAGATCCTTGTCATGCAAAGTGCAGTTTACAAACCCCAAACCTCCAACACCACCTAGGAAGTTGTTAGACACTCAGACACAGGCCACCCTGCAGACCTGCCTTTTGTCAGAAGCATCGGTACCATGTTTACAGTACCGTTGGAGCACCGTCGCTTTGGATGGTGTACAAATAGATACTACCACAATGTCTTCGCATCAGAGGTCTTCAAATGGAATTGCAATATTTAATCTTTCTAGCCTAACTACTTTTAATCATTTAAATTAAATCAATCCATTGATTAGTGATTCCCAACCCTAAGTATTCAAGAGTCGTCACTCATGCAACTTTAAAGTCTTTACCTCAACCACCAGGATTAAGTGTGTTTGAAGTGAGGCTTTGCCACTGTCAGTGCCGGGAAACCGGCACTGAGAACTGCTAGCACAGGCAGGCAGCTCAGAGGAAAACACACAGCTTCAAAATCCATTTCCTGGGTTTTTTCCTGGCTCCACCCCACTCTAATCAGAAAACCTTCAGGAAGTCACTCCACTTTGCTGACGCTGTCACCCATGTTCGCCTGACAGAATTGTTGAAATAATTAATAAAATTATGTATATAAAGCCTTAGCATTGTACCCGAAATAAAGTAATTGTACCCTCCCAGCATCGGACACATCCATAGACTGCAAAGTCAAACTCTTCCAGCAAACCTCAGTGGCAGTTTAAAGCAAGCGCTGCCACATCTTTCTTCATTTAGTCCGCCTGTCTTTCACAAGACGTCTGCTACAGTCCGGATTTATGTTCGACTTAGAAAATCGAGGCTTTGGGTTTTTAATATAGAATGTTCATTCAGAGAGGTTCAAAGGCTTGTAGCTCTAAGGGAGATAAATCTGGGCCCTTTTGTTGTCTCTGAGCACATGCTCATTAACAGAAACACATGTTACAGTCGATTCCATCAACAGTATTGAATCTTTCCGTGCTGGCCACAGGTGACAGCCTGCTGTTCTCAACTCATCTCAGAAGATCCACAAAATGATCAAATACATGCTTCCCCCACCCCCACTGCCCTTGTTACTGCATTTGTAAAAAAACAATCGTGTTATCTGATGTAGGTGATTTACCACACCATTTGTGGAAAGGTACCAGCAGGTCCTGGAATTACAATGTTTTGTTCAGTGTTCTTCAGTTACAACGTTGATAAGATGCCTAGGAACTTAACTCTTGTTTCTATCAGTTAGCTTATGGTCACATTGGTTTCATTATATGTAAATTTACTTAAAGTCACAGAATCTGTCCATGATGTTAAGTGAGGACTTAAGTGTAATTGGAAAAGCATTCAGACACTTTTTATAGTGAAATCTCAAAAGTCTTGCCATTCTTATCTTGAAAACGGCCCAGAAGGAGAGGATTGCTTTAAGGAGGCAGAACTGCTTGGAATCAGTAGCTTGAAAACCATCAGAGCTCCAGTCCCTTCTCTGCCCCTGGGGAGAACGTCTCTCAGTTCCTCCTTCCGTAATGAGACTAGAGAGTATTTGCTTGTTTTCCTAGGCCCTTGTGTGGGATGATTAGTTTGTTTATACTCCCTTTCAACATGGCCATAATTCAAGCATTTCTCGAGGCCTCTATAAGCTTTCCATATTGAAGAAATAGCAGTCCCATCTGCTTCTTGCAGAGTGTCTGTGTTGGTAAAAATGAACTCCTCATGTGCCGTGATGCTTGCCATGTTCAGAGGCGAAGGGAAGGTTGCATGAAGCAGAGGGATAGGACCAAACACCAATTCATTACAGCCCAGCAGGAAAAAAATCCTTCCATTATTTGAACACTTTTTTCTGTTTGCTTACCAATTAATTTTGACATTTGTGTTCCATGCAACTAAAGCCAAATTCCATAATTTACATCTAGAAGAGAGTGTTATTGTCCAGTATTACTCTGAAGTTGGCTATTATAAAATATGAGTATGTCATGAAAACCCTTATTTAAAAAGTCATTCATAAACTGTGAATACACTTGATTTTCAGCAAAACTTCAGCAGCTTAAAATGGAATTCTTACACTGAACAATCCTTCAGAGTTCAGACTTATGATGGGGGCTACTTATCTCACAGGGGCTATGTGAACATTGTTAAAATGTGTGTTCAGTGGTCCATTTTATGTGAAAATGGCCCTGTAGGTAGGGTGTCTTGGTACGTTTACTTAAAACATCCTTGTGACCCCACTAAAGAATGTTTACACTAGATTTTGTGATACATAAATACAGATGTCAACATTAATTACAGTGCAAATACGACGGGACTTTTTCCTTTTACCTTGGTTTTCTGTCAAAATATACAAAAACATATCATAAATGTCAATGAGAAAATGTGGGCCTATTAAAGATTTATTTATGGTCTTTCAACCATAATAAAGAACAACAAGATTTATGACATAATGAACGTAAGATTAGATGTTCCCTCCTTACCATCACTTTAAGAAAATCTAAACCGCTTACAATTTATTGATCCCCTCTCCTAAAATTGCAGATAATTATAATAAGTGAATTTCTAAAACTTTATACTATTTCCTTAAATAACTACAGGTTCTTGATACATAAAAATGATTTAAAACAGTTCATTGATTCGTTAGCATGCAAGTCATTTTTTCCTCCCTAAATTTGAAGTATTTCAGTTACTCAACATTACTGTTCTTTCTTAAAGCAGTTAAAATACACAATCACAAGCCTGTGTTCTGAAGGTAGACCTTTAGTCCTCAGTACATCCCGTTCTCTGCCTCAGGACAACCTTTCTTGGTGAAAGAATGTCAGACGTGGCTAATTCAGCCAATCACAGCATTGTGGGCCATGACACAGGGCATTTGAGAGCTGTTCAGTCCAGTGTGGGACCTGGCTATCGAGCACCTGAAACACGAGAGTGTGACTGAAGGCTTGAACCCATAGTTACCGTATTTTTCGGACTACAAGACACCAACCCTCCCCCTGCCCACCAAATTTGGGAGGAATAATGGTTGTTAACACTGCTATTGAGTTCTGTTTACATTTACATTGGTGAAATATTATGTTATTTATGTTATTAAATATTTTACCACATTTTTTGCTTCAAAATTTTTTTCCCTATTTTCCTCTAAAACCTGTGTGCGCCTTATGGTCCAAAAAATACGTTATATCTCATTTTAACTCATTTAAATGTAAACTTCAAATTGCAGTTGTGTAGAATATTTTTTTCCATTAAACACAGCTCTATTGTTTTGGTAAGACTATATTTCACTTTATTGAAAATTTAGTAATTGTTATGTGCTGCAACTATTAAATATGCACTGGGTTTCAGAGAGTTAGTAAAAATAAAGAAGAATGTAAAATATCAGGAATATTTTTATATTAACTACATGTTGAAAATAGTTTTGATATTTAGAGTTAAATAAAATGTACATTAAAATTAATGGCCCATCTTTCTTTTTCCTTTTTTTAAAAATGTGGCCAGTGGAGATTTTTTTCATTTTAAGTTTCAAAATTTTAGATTAGACTTGCATTACGTTCCTGGTGGACAGCACTGAGGTGCAGCAGGGTGACAGGAGACTCCAGCTCGGAGCTTCTGAGAGCACCTGCAGCACTGCAGAGGATGGGGGACCTTTCATAAGTCTTACTTGAAATGAATGAAAAATTCTTACTGTAAGCCAGTAATTAGTCATTAGAAACTTTAAAAATTAAGACCTCTTTTTCTCATTCTTTATTAGCCAATGGCTAATGTAAGCTTCTTGTGTGCTTGTCAAAAGGAGCTACAAGAAACACAAATATTAGAAGTAACAAATTTTTGGTATTTCCCAACATTTTATTTCTTTGCCAAGCTTTCCCCAAACCATTCTATAATTTCCACAGCAATAATACAGATTTAAATAAATTTCAGTCCTAGACACATGATCAATTAAGTGTTTTCCTTTCTAGCTTGCCCTGCAGCTCAAGTTTCTAATTTGTTTATACAAAACATGGAGTCTCAAGGGAAACTTTGTTTCACCTGTTTCCACCTGCAGAGGGAATGCTCCCTTGCCGTTTACAGATGAGATGCATGTCACATGGGTCCCGAATCACTGTGTTCTTACAAAGACCTCTCTTTCCAAGACTTGTGACTGTCCCAGTGACAAGCCACGTGGGCCTCTCGCCCACCTCTGTGCAGCAGCTCCTTGCCTGGAGAACCTGAAGCAGTGCTCTGGGGCACTACTGTTGGTTTTCTGTGCTTGCACTCTCCTTAGTGCAGCGGCTTCGTGACTATGCACCAAGAAGTTTAGGAAAGCAGCTGGGGCCCAGGAAAGTCTTTGCAGCGGCACCCATTTTGATTGAGAAGATGGGGCAGCCTCAGGGCCACATGGATGTCACAGAGGCAGCCAGCGAGGAGAGCAGAATGCAAGTGCAGGAGGACAGTCGCTCCAAGTTGGCCTATTTTTAAAATTCTTTATGTTCTTTCCTCTTAGTTAATTACACATGGTGACATATTGGAAAGGTATACAACATGGGTAACCCTGACACTTAAAGTATTCAGAGAAAGAGTATGGAGTGGTACTTTTCAAAGGAACAGGAGGTTCTGGGAAGCAGACTGACAACAGTGTGGTGATGAGAACTGCAGAATGTTGGAACTGAAAAGGACAGTAGTGATCGTCCACTCTCCCACTTTTTAAAGATGCTGCTGTAAGCATCTTTAGAAGAGAATACAAACCAAAAAAAAAAAAAATAGTAGATTTTGTAATCACACCAAATAAAGGTGTTTTCTGCTTCAAAAGACCCTATTAAGCATATCCTGTTCCATTTAATGTTTTATTCCTACTTTTCCATCACTTCTGCAAAAAAAACCCCAAACCTTCACATACCATTAGTTCCTGGAAAGGGGCCTGCCCTGCCCCTTTCTGCAGACGCACCAGAGATAACGACAACAATGTCGTTATTGCCAACCTGCAATAACAGAGCGGCCAGAGACCTAGCAGAGGACTCAGGGGCTGTCCCCTCCTTCCGTTCTTTTTCACTACACTAAAAATTTGAACAGCCTATGGTCTTTATGTCAACTTCAGCAGCTTTCAGCGTTTTTTTTGTTTTTTGTTTTTATTTTTACTTACAAAAGTAGAACTGTTTCTGATGTTTAACCTGCAACAGTGGGAGGTAACTTAAAATATTAAGGTAAATCACGACAAGAAAAATCAAGAAGCATTGTTGCCTGTCTTACTGTAAATTACCTATTAACACATGCACAAAATATAAACTAAAAATGTATTTCCTCTATGGATTTAAAGCTTATGGAGGAAAAAATAAGGAACCTGAGAATTTTACATGACTCCTAATTTTCTCTCTCCTGGGACAGTATAACTGGCCTGTGAGTTCATGATCACTGCCCTCACTTTTAGTTCCAAAATTCTGAAATTCTCATTACCAAAACTGTGTCAGTCTACTTCCAATAGCAAAAGGGTCATTTTAAAATACCGCTTCATGCCCTTTTTCCAAGCTCCTCACAATGTTAAGACTGTGCTAATTTCATATATGTTATCAGATGGAATTCACTAAGGGAGAGGGATATAAAAAGAACTGATGAAGAAGTGATCTAGTCTCTGACTTGCTCATGCTACAAGAAAGGACACACGAAAGGATAGTTTTTATATCAATTACTCAGGCAGCAGAATCCCGGTGGCATTGTGACTGCTTTGAGCTCTTGGGATGTGCTTCTTCAGTATCTGCCCCAAGTGGCCTGTCCCTAAACTGTGGCGAGCAGGGTGAGGGTGATGCCAGTGTGGTCATGGAATGTCACGCTTCCTACTGACATGCTGGATGACACCTGGACATCTCTGGCACGGAAAGTGAACCATCAAGAAAGAAAGAATAACAGCGAGTAGGTTACAGCCAGCCTTTTTCTCTTGGAGAGCGCAGTCCAGGCCTGGGCACTGTCGTCCCTGTGGAATGATGAGCAGTTTCACTACTGTTGATTCTGTTGTTTGGTCTAAATATAAATGGTATCTGTGTCTGGAGAATCCAATGAATTAAGTCTTCAGCGTGTCTGTTGTGTAGAGGAAGTGGGCCGAGATGAAAGGAGCAATAAAACCCTGACAAGCTGAGAAGAGCATGCACAGGATGCTCAGATCTGGTTAAGAAGGCAGGAGCAAAGAAGGAGTGGGGTCAGGGCCCAACACAGAGTGCCGGCTATGAAGACAGCTGTATGACCCCAGCCAGGGAACGTTTGAGAGCCCCTGACCTCCACCATGAATTCAGCCTCTCCTTGCTGGTGGGTTAGAGAAGCGTGGCCTAGAGTTCTCGAGCCTGCATCAGAGTGTGCTTGTGATCCTTCCAACTAGCTTAGTTAAAGCAGGGATCACTCCAACTGGTTTAGCGGTGGCCATGGAACCAGATGGGCCTGCCTCAGTGAAGAACATTTTAGATCTAAGAATATATTTATTTCTCTTTTCTCTGACAAAAGGTGTTAGCCACATGGTGGGGTCTCTCCTTGGTTTTGTCAGGGGGTCTGCAGCTTCTCTGCCCTCAGGCTGTCCAGGGGCACAGGCTCCTGGCACATATACACAGTAGGAGAGCTTCTTCCGCCCATGTGGTGGGGCGGCGTGGTTCACAGACACAGAGCACGCTGTCCCACTGGGAAGGTCTTGTTTACCTCCAAGGTCCCTTGTGACAGTAAGGAATGAAATTAGTTCCATGGGGAGTGAAATGAGTTCCCGTGGCATCTGAAAATTAGATTTAGGATTAAAGGCAGCTTGGAAGCTTCAGGACGATTAGCATTCACCTCACTTACTGTAGTTACGTCCACAAAATGCCAGATGCCCAGCCTCACGCTCTGGGCTGTCCTTCATCGACAGGGCGCAGAACCCAGGGGTAAAGAGGCTCTGGCATCGACTATTATGTGATTCCCTTACCCTCTGGGACTCATTTAATTTGTTTAAAACAAGGGGTTGGATGAGGGATTTCCAACCTTCCTACACCCCCAACAATCTGGGGTTGTTCACAAGCTCACCTCTCAGTGAGGTCAGCTCAGTTTGGTGGAGAAACGTCAGTGGATAGACTTGGCCTTTTGTAGGGTCTGCTTTTAGCCATCATTGCCATGAAAGGTCCAGCCCAATTTAAGATCATGTCTTTCCACCCGTCGTTCCTGGTCCACCTCAGTTCTGTTCTAGGGTTTTTGTGCTATTGAAGCCAAAAACATCCACACAGTATCTGCAATTAGACTTTCCCCCAACCTGGGAAATGTGAGAATGTGTGAGTGTTTAGGATCCATGTTCAAGTGTGATAACCCCTTCAGTCTCAGGATGATTTCAATTTTTTATATGAATCCTTTCACAACTACCTCCTACATTATTATATTGGTAACTACTGCTTCATTTCACTGAGGAGTTTTCAAATTAGAGCTCATTTGCTTTATTTTCCATTTCAGATTAAGACGTCAGTTATTTGGGCAACCCCAAATGTTTCCTTCTCAATCCCACTGTGGGTAATAATACTAGCAATACTTCTTGGATTATTGGTCCTGGCCATTTTGACCTTAGCTTTATGGAAGGTAAGTTTCTTTACTTTCTTTTCTTTTTTGAGTAGAGGTGTCATCGAAGGGATTTAAAACAATATATCTAAGGACTTAAAAAGACAATGCTAGAGGTGTGATTTGGGTTTTTTTTTTAACACTCTAAAAAACATAAAAGAAATGTTGTATCTTATTTGCTTGGACAAACAGTACTCATGTAGCTGGCATGTAACAAGACTGGGCATGTTTAATGTAGCTTTAATCTTGAGATTTCTTGTAAACAAATATAGAGAAAATTAGACTGTATTAACTAGGACCTGTGATCTTTCCAATATGCTTGGGGTGTTAATGTTATTAAGACTTCATTTTCTTATTTAATTAACCAAGATCTTAAGGTTTTTATTGAAATGATCCTATCAACAGCCCTTTGAGATTTTTCTTTATAAGCACTACACAGATGCAATTATTATAGTAATTAATTGGGACTTAGACTATCAAGGAGGGCAAATAGATTATGCATGTTATAATAATATTCTTAGACTTGTTTTTCTAAATCTTGCCAGTTAGTTCATCTCCATTAGGAAGCCTATACTCTTTCATGTGTTTTACTCAAGTTTGTTCTAAAAGTCTACAGTAGAAATTAGTTTCTGGCCCCAAAACAAACATGACAGCCAAGTTTCACAGAGCTTTCCATTCCAAAATAAAAACCATGTCAGAATTACATAACTATCAGAGTGATTAATCCAGTCACATCTTAATTAACCACTATTGTTGTGGTTCTCCAAAAATCATAGCTTATTTTTATTTTAAAACAATATGCAGGATGTTTAGTAGACCTATAAACTGAGAAAACCTTGCCTTTTGTGTTAAATATAGGCGTTCGCAGTCATTATCAGCTGTTTTGTGCCATCCTGAGCCCACATAGTCTTACACACCTTAACAACAGACTTTTGTGTCAGTCTGTTATTCATGGTGACCGTACGCCCATAAGTGTTACAGCTCCATACGCCAATTGACAGAACACTGTGCCCAGCCTACAAAGGAAACAGAACTTGATAGTTATAAGCCAAAATCAATGAATTGGGCTTCCAGTAAAGAGACAATAAAAAAATTGAGGTTCCACGTTTCTAAGAAAAGATATTCTCCTAGGCCAAATACTAATTTGAAATTCAGGAGGAAGAACACTCCAGAATCCACTCTTCTCTGAGTTCCTGGTTAATCTTTGCAAAATCTCTAAGGTGTTCTGGGATTTAAAAAATGGCCAATCTAATTTTCCTTTATAGACTATATGTTCTCCCAAGTACAGAGGGACACCCAGGGATCCCCTGACCTCCTCCTATAACCCATCCTGAGGGAGCCTATAGTGTATTTCAGGACAGAATCTCCTTTCCCTGGTCAGCACTTAGTGCCGCTGCCGGCTCCAGAAAACAGACAGAAAAGCAAGAGGAGATCCCTGGGCTGTGTTGCTATAATCCCAGAAAAAGACACAAGGTCCGTAATGTAGGGACATCCTCCCCGTCTCCGGACATGGCAGGAGGAAGGACACGAACACTGTGCCCTATACAGTGAGTTCCTCTGCAGGTAAATGCTCTTGTTTCCACTTCCTAATTTGGAGAATCAGGAAGATTGTCTTCAAGAGCTCTAAGTTCTTTAGGAAATATATACAGTGAGGCCCTGGTCAAGTATCTCCATTGGTTAGGGCATCATCCTGATACGCCAAGGTTGCGGGTTTGATTCCTGGTCAGGATACATATGAGAATCAATGGATGAATGCATAAATAAGCAGGACAACAAATCAATGTCTCTCTCTCACATCAATCAATAAAAAAATTTTAAAGAAAATACATAAAGTAAAAATTCTTAGCATGAAGGGTTTCACAAATTCCCAGAACAGCTTGATTTTATAGCCCGTTTTTCTTTTTCATAGTGTGGATTCTTCGACAGATCAAGACCCCCCCAGGATGAAATGAATGACAGGGAACAACTGACAAATGAGAAAACCCCTGGTGCGTGAAAAGGAAAACCCAAAGACCAAAAAACTCCATCACTGGTCCTGTCCAAAGAAAAGAAGGAACATAAAGGTTAAACAAAGGTTTTCCTGTACCTGCCAGTGTCCTAAGAAACGGAAGGGCCCCGGGAAACACCACCTCATCTACACCACCCTCTGAAGACATCGCTGCGGAGCACAGTGAGCCTTTTGGGAGAGGGAACACCTTCGACACTGTAGAAACAGACGGCTGTCATGGGAGACTGCTTTCGCTTGAGTCACTCTGTACCTAGCAGACACTTTGTAATGGGTGTGGGACCTGAGGCTGCTTTCCAGGTAAGTCCAACTTAAGTCTAAGTTGCAAAGGCAAAATGTCTGAATTACAATAGAATTTAGAAGGTGAACTAGGACTGACCCTTCCAACACTACTGTATCCAACGGAATATTTGACACCTCCCTATGGAAAAGAAATATTTCTAGTGACATTACGGCTCAGGGAGACAAGTATATGTTGTTGTTGGTACTGTGAAAGTACTCGTGAAATGACAAAAATAATCTTGTAAGCAAGGATAACAAGTTATTTATTTATTTTCCATTTCTCTAGGCTGATACTCTGGCCATCTAGAGGATTTGGAAATTAAGATTGGTTAGCTGGTTTTTAAAATCACTCACTAAATTTCCTTCTAACATAACCATTTTGTGCAGATCAGTTATTTAACAGAGTTTCTTTAGGATTTAACAGTGTAAAGGAAAAGCAATTGGTATTAGAAGATTGGTTAGCTGGTTTTTAAAATCACTCACTAAATTTCCTTCTAACATAACCATTTTGTGCAGATCAGTTGTTTAACAGAGTTTCTTTAGGATTTAACAGTGTAAAGGAAAAGCAATTCGTATTAGAAGGTAGTTTCACTTCCTCCTTTGCTGCCTTCCACCTGAAATTTACTTGTATCCATACTTTCCAGGGACTCACCTCTGCTTCATTTAGCTTTTTGTGTTTATAGCTCCTTTTATTTTAAAAAAAGAAACATAATCACCCCAGTTACTTAATTAGCAATACACAAATTTCAAGGTACTCTCAACTCTGTGTGGTTTTCAAAAGTTATGGTAAAATTTCTAGAGTCTGTTAATAAAAAAGCAGTTTAACAATATGGGTAAACATATTTTTTAAATCTATTAGAAGCAACACCAATATTTAACTTCAGATTCAATACCTATTTTCTCTACTATACCTCAGACTTACTATGTACACAGAGAAGACACATTAAACAAAATTGAAAGGAAATACAAAGTTATGCAGATGTGAGATGAAGCTAGAAAACAGATTCCCAAGGATTTTTTTTAGAACTGCCTATTTCAACTTTACTACTCATTTTTGCTGGTAATCTTTATAGTACTTGACTTCGGGAAATTATCTATATTTAAGCTATTGTGCCATCATCTTGAATTTAACCATTACAAAAACTTGATGTTTAAAACTCTTGTAAATAATCCATAATCGTGTGTAATATTATCATCTTTGAAGTAAAGTTGACCAGCCAAACTCATATAGTCTGCACAACTTTGTACCTTTTTTTATAATAATGAAAATTACTATGAAGAAATACTGAATAAATTTTATATTTATGTGCAATATTTTATAGACCTATGTATCTAAAGCATGTTTACACTGGCATTAGTTATTTTTAAATTAATATTCTGAATATTAAGTATGATAGAACAAGCAGCCCCAAATCCTTAAGGTTATAAAACCATTGGAAAATTCGTATCCTGGTTTCACCAATCACACTTTATTTGAACGAAGAGCCAAACTCACAGACACTAAATTTGCTGTCACGCCTTAACCTGGAGACAAGCCATTTGGCTATAGCTGCAGCATTTCCTCGGAGACCAAATGAAAGGCACATGGAAGAATACGCTAATGCAGTTCATATTCTTCCTGCTTGTGAATTAGACCCTGTCATGGTAGCGGTTTCAAGTCTGGCAGGAACGAAGTCTGGCTCACAGTGTGAGAGGCTGACTGTGGGTGAGAACCGCACGTGCCTCAGGCTCTTTGAGGTTCCCACGCCAGCCTCCGGCCTGAAGTGTTAGTTATCTAGCCAGAACTGGTTATACGGGGAGCTGGCCATCGACACATATGATTGGAGGGATTTCAGACAGGACTGTCCACCCATAAATAATGTCCTAACTCCTGTCATAGTGCCTAGCTTTTAGGCAGTAGAAATTAGTGCCTTGGGAGTTTTGGTCCTAAGGGGTGTCTGAGAAAACACACCCATTGCCTTTTAAGCTAACAGTTCCAGGGAAGGTACTCAGAACTCTTAGAGCTAGCTAGATAAATGTAGGTCCCTGTGAGACCACACATACAGACACCTGGGGAAAATAGGGCTCCCCAAGAGAAGACCGGGACCCAGAACAGAGCAAGGGATGAGGATCTCAGAGACAAACTCTGCCTTCCACACAATCACAGCCAAGGGTAGTCCCTTCTCAAGGGATGAGCACTGCTATCTACAGACATCTCACAGAGGGTCATCACACACACGGGACCTCTCAGCCACTTAGACTGTGGAAGCAAATGGAGGGAGGGGGACACAGAGGTCAGGTGAACTGTGCCGTTGTCAGTTCCTGAGCATCCCCTGCACACGCAGGATCCTCTAACCACCCACGGGGTGTCTGCTTCTCATCATGGTATCGCTGATTGCCTCTGTAACTCATAATGTGCTGTGCTTTTCTTAGAGTCTCTCTCTGTTAGATACACCTTTTAAAGTTCTTGAAGCTGGTTTTTAGGACATGGAAAGTGGGCAAATTAAGTTTTATAAACTTGGAGATTTTTACACAGTAAATACACAACAAGGACTAGTTGCCACAGAAACCCTATTCAACTCAACTCTTCTTTTTCTTGTTTTGTCTAAACACATTTGTAGCTATCTTGTGAAGATTTTCATGTACCTATTTACCTTGTCACTAATAAAATTAAAAGTTAAAGACACAATGATATATTTGTGGTTTGTTTCACAAGCATAGCGACGCTTTCCCGCAGTGGTAGACATCAAAGTTTCTGTCTTTACACCTTGATTCTTTAGTATAAAAATAATGTTGGAAGAAATTTGAAAGAGCAAAAATATGTCACTCCTTTGGAATGATGAAAATGTTCTCAAGTTAGATTGTAGTAATGTTTTCACAACTCTATGAATATACTAAAAAAACACTGAAACTGTATGCTTTAATAGATGAGTTTTGTAGTATACAAATTAAAGTTCAATAAAAATGTTTAAAATTTTGTTAAGTCATTTGTAACATTCCCACCCTTATACAACTGATTTCTGTTCTCTACATTGCTTTTCAAATTTCGGCTGTAAATACATCTTTTATGAAACCTTCCTTTGCGTCTCCGGCCAACAATCCCTGTCCTTCAGTGGCATTTTGTGAATTACTACACTTTTCCATTTGTTTGCATGATTATGTTCCAGCTGAACTGACCCTGAGTGAAAACAGGAACCATATCTTTTCGCCTTTATTTCTCCTACACTTAGCACCAACCTCTGGAACCTAGTTCGTGCTCAAAACCATCTCTAGAATGAATGAATGAGTGAATGAATGAACGAACATATGTGCACAGTAATTATCATGGGAAACATGATCTTTTGTAATTTGTTTTTATTACAAGCTTCAGGACACACAGATTTCCATATTCTCCTGTTTGTAGTGTTCATGCAGTGTTGCTATGGTTACTTACTATTCTATTCAATGTGTGGACCATCCTTTGTTCAATCATCCCCCTTTTATTGAGAATAGATATTCCCAGATTTGCATATGGTGAATAACATTAAGTTGAATACTTTCATATACAAGGCTTCTTTTCACTTATTTCAGAAAACAAACTTCACAAGGTTGAGAGTACTTGGTAAAAGTATATAAAGATTTTTGTAGTTCTGGATAAAATATTTTTCTTAAGAATGCTAGATCAGTTTGCATTTACTTAAATAATACAATTTCCTTTATAATTCTGTCAGTATTTTAGAATATTTTGGTACTTGTTTACAAATATTACTAGAATTCTGTACATTGAATGTACACACTTAATTTTAAGTTCTAATATTTATCAGTTGGTCAACATAGACCAATGTATTGGGCATACCCCATAGGACATGAAATACTTGCCACTTTTCTGGCCAGCATTCATGGATCCCAGCGAGGTGAACCCAGCATCTGCATGCTCTCTTCGCCGCTGAAAGAAAGCAGTACGATGATTTTTTCACTTCACATTGTATATCACTCCCTCTTCAAAGCCTAGGCATATCTAGAGGCTTGTGGTGGTCCAGGGTGCCTGTGTATCCCAGATGAAGCAATGCAAAACCAGATCTAAGATTCTGTAACACTGGTGCTGAAGATCAAAGCCCCATCCTGGTACAAACTAATCTGAGTGGGTAAGACTTCCCCGAAGCACATGGAAGGCTCCATACTGAGCCAGCCCCACTGGTTAAAGCCTACACATGCTCAAAGTGAGGGAAAAAAGCACGCTTGTCCTGTCTTTTTTGGTAGTAAAGTGCCTGGTAGTTGAATGTGTGCGGTGAGAGCTCAGTCTTCTCAACAAATTCTGTTGATATCTCTGTCACTTCCAGCCATTTTCTGTGGGTGCCCTTAACTGTGTCAATACTTTCTAAACATGGGGTTGAGATCTAGATGTCTGGAGTGGGTAAGTGAGATAGGGATCGCTCCTTGCGAAATTCTGTGACAAAGTAGGATCCCTTTCTAGCTGCACATACTTCCTCCGTGAAATCTGCACTGTACTCACAGGTTACTTCTATAGCACCCAGCATCCTGGCACCCTCGGGAAGAGCCAAAACATGAAAATCTTTCACTGAGATCCACGAGTGTTAAGACAGTATCTACCTGACTTGGGGTCTAAAGTTCTTTTCTCAAAATATAGAAGATGTTCTCCTTCAGAACTCTGATGACATTCAAAGGCTAATTTCTTTAGCATGAGAAGTTTAAAGCATTAAAACTTTGGACTCACTTCAGAGCTGAGTAAAACCATAACCCCCCAGTGATGCGTCAGTCAATGGTGAGTTCAAAATGGCCCGAGTACAAAATGCTACTTCCCCTGTTCAGCTCTCCCTACCCCACCCCCAAAATACCATCTGCCTGACACACTGCCTTTTGGAATTGTTTATGAGCAAGTTCTCTATTATTTATGATTGTTGGCCAAAGTCCACATGGAAATGTAGCCTGATACTAGTGCCTCTTGACAATAAAAAGTCTCAAATTTAACTTCTATCAGCACCATGATATGACACAGTAGGAATGTTCTTAAAATCTCTGCACTGTTGTTTATTTTGGTTGTGCACTGAGTTGTAGAAACAACCAAGTGATCAGCAAATCGCCCTGCAATCCCATCTTTAGGTGGGAATTACTTTTAAGCAATAAAGTGGACCTCCCTGGTTTTCAAATTTTACATTTCAACTTTCATTCACTTAGTTGACTGTTGGGTACCAGCATATTTAACACTTTTTATTTCTATAGCATCATCAGTTTTAAAGAACTCCTTATTTCTCCTCTATATTAACTCCCCAGGGCTGCAAGTACCACAAATTGGGTGGCTTAAAACAACAGAAACTCATTATCACAGTTTTCAAAGCAAGCAGTTCAAAATTAAGATGTCACCAGAGCATGCTCCCTTTGAAGGCTCTAGGGCAAATCTTGTTCCTACACCCCTGTCATAGCCCCTGGTAGCCCCAGGTATTCCTTGGCTCATAAATGCCCCACTCCAATCCTCCCTCTTCACATGGTGTCCTCCCTGCATGTCTCACATTGTCTCCCCTCTGTGTCTATGTCCATGCTTCCCCGTTTTACAAGGACACCAGGTGTATTGAATTAGTGCCCACCCTAATGACTTCATTCTAATTTGATTACCTATGTAAAGAACCTGTCTCAACTACTGGGGTTAGGACTTCAACATACCTTTTTGGAAGAACACAATTCAACAACTCAGCATCACAAAAGCCCTAACCGGTGTGGCCCAGTTGGTTGGGCAGCATCCCACAAAGAGAAAGGTCACCATTTCGATTACTGGTTAGGGCACAGCCTAGGTAGCAGGTTCAGTCCTGGTTGGGGTGCATACAAGAGGCAACTCAAAGATTTTTCTCTTTCACATCAATGTTTCTCTCCCTCTCTTTCACCCTTCCTTCCCCTCTAAAAATAAAATCTTTTTTTAAAACTATTTATCATATAGAACAGTTTAATAAGTGAACTGAATTTAACAAGCCACATATGAAAAGCTTAAAGAGAGTATCTTTACATCAGTCTTTTCATTTATACTCATTCAGGTAATACACTAGTGTTGCCCAGTATATAATACGTTCATAATATTTACATTTTCCCTCATTTATTGCCTTCATGTACATATCGGAAGTTTATGACAATTGCATTATTCATATAATTTACTCATCTGCTTTGCTCTGAAATTTCCTTCCACTGCCATTCATGTTCTCATTCTCTACTTTTCCTTTCCCTTGAAATAATCATCTTATTCTCAGGGACAATATGAACAAATGTGAGTTCTGCGATCTAACAGGGCAGATTCCTCAGTGGTGGGAGACTGCAGAGTGCTGGTGACTGAGTTCATGAGAAGCTGACGGGGAGGCCCCACCTTTGGGCTGCAGGCCCTGCCGTTCCATACAGGGAGGCACTGCTTAAACCTGCAAGGACCCAGGGCTGGGAAGAGACTGCTACCGTGGGAATGATGGAGCCAAGAAAATAAGACAAAGATAACTAGAATTTACAGGGTACATGTTGTGTTCGGCACTGGGCTGCACAATAGGTGGTAGGAGGCAGTTTACAAAAAAATAAAAGGGCAGGTCTCTCAGCACCACAGGTAGGAGAGGTGCCTGTCCTCAGGCAGTCGTCTGGTCTCACAGGTTGGCCAACAGGCCAGAGTCACAGCATGCTAAGCAAACCTTCCCTCTTGTTTTCACTTCACCTGTCTGCTCCTTCTACCATCATCTTTCCCAGTCCTTGCTGGGAAGTTTCCATCCATTTACATGTGAGGGTGGCTCTCACTCCAGGTGGAGGGCATTGAGTGTTGCCCTTTGGCCAGTGGCCTCTCACCCTACACTCGGCTTCAGGGGTTTGTGCAAGCCAGCAAGCTCCAGGCCTCAGCTGTACTGGCTGCATTTCATTACTGAGAGACAAGCAAAAAGAATAGGAAAAGCTTCAAGCATGTAAAGAATGCTTGAGAAACCCGGGGTCATTTAACCTGGAGAAGAGAATGTCCTGGGGAAAATATTAGCTGACAGTGAGGATCTGAAGGACCATTATGAGTAAGAGGAAGCAGAGTAGGAAGGAGCTGAGGATGCAGTAATGTCATAGTAACAGCAATAAAAATTGGTATGCATGAAGCGCTCGCTCCATGTCAAGCCCCTTGCTAAGTGCTTTATGTGCATTTTTTATTTAATCCTCACAGCCACCACATGAAGCAGATTCTAGGATTACCCCCATTTTACAGATGAATTAAAGTCTAGAGAAAGAAAGTAGCTTGACAGTTTACACCAGCAGTTTTCAACATTTTTCATCTGGTGGCACATGTAAACTAATAACTAAAATTCTGTGGCACACCAAAAAGGTATATTTTTGGTGACCTGACAAAAAATAGATATAATTTTGATTCACTCACACCAGATGGATGTTGTTGTGTTGGCTGTTGTCATTTTTTTTATTTGACAATCTAAGGAAAAAGAGATTAGTGCTCCTGACTGGTCAGCTATGTGGCACGTTTCAAAAAATCCTTGTAGCACACTGGTCAAAAATTTCTGGTTTACACCACAGTTAGTGGCAGAACTTAGATGCAAACCCAGGTCTGTCTTGCTCCAGAGGCCAGGATCATCCAACCTGCCATTTTCAACAAATTGAGAGTATCTACTCTGTTCCATGCTGAAAATAGAGAGGCGACCACTTAAGAAAGTGGAGTTAGAATGGATTTTCATGACCTTGAAGATTTTTTTTAAATCCTCCCAGAACAATAATAAGGACTTCTAGGTACAAAAACACAAAGCTGAATCCTTCATTTAGTTTACAAAGTTGGGAGTTAGAACTGTGTCCTCTTCTACCTTCCAAACTCTGTTTAGATTCACACACGATGAAACATTGTCAATATTCTTCAACACCTAAAAAAGTTAGATAGATAGATTTTAATTTTCAAAATATATGAATAGAGAAATTCATTCTTTTGGTCATTTGCCAAGATCAGAGCTGACTCCCAAAGCCACAGGGGTTTCAGAG